TATCTTACTCTTAACTATAAGTTAAGAGAAAATTTTCACTACCTATTACTCCCTTGATGACTTTTTTCATCTTATCCACTAAAATCATCTTATTTTTCCTTTTCTCTTATCGCTCTATAGCAGACCAGGGGTGCACTGGGCGTGACATTGACACGTCAACGATGACAGTTGACATCTGTGACAGCTGACATGCGACATGTCACACGTGACATGTGTCATAATCGTGTCAGGATGCACTGGTGAACGCACACGCCCTCTCTCCCAGTAAGGTAAGAGGCGCTCATTTGGAACTAATTCTTGATTTTATTATTGTGTTTATGGACGAACGAGTTTTTGATTAGTAGGGAAAAAGGAAAATGTCGATGAGAAGTTATATAACAAGTTTGTAACAAAAATATAAATAAATATGTTATTGAAGTTCAGTTCGAAGGCAAGAAATGTACCATATTTATAGGCCTATTCTTGGACAACATAGGATGCTTGAAATTAGTGCATATTGAATACTAGCTATTTCCGATGCACTTGGTTTTTTGATGTTGGTTCACAATCAAATGTATTAAATTAAAATAGTACAATATTTAAAATAGTACAGTCCTAATATTCAGTCAATTACGACCTAAGAAAATTTCAATTTGAATATTTTAATACTGATGCAATCTTGAATTGATTAAATTTTTATTTAAATACAGTGAAAATACTTATAATCTTATATTATTTTACGCAGCATTTAATGCACGGGGACGTTTAACTATCAAAACAACGTTCCATAAATATAAAACTACCCTTGGGGAATATATAAATGCGACCTGGTCCTCCTCGTGCAGGTCGCGTGGCGATTTTGTAATCCTGAGATTATGCGGCATCACGCCAAAAAATAAATAATTTTCAAAACACACACACACATGCATATATATATATATATATATATATATAGATTTTATTTTCATAAATCTTTTTCCAAAAATCCATCCAATCTTCTTCACTTGAATCTGTATGAGCTTCACTACATACCAGACAACACTATTAAAACAATTTAGTAAACAAAAAAACTGTTACACATCATCGAAGATTGACAAATTTAAAACCAAATAATTAGGATAGAGCGGGACTTAAAGTTTTGTGGGTAAAAAGATCCACCACCGATATTTAAAAAACCAGTAAAGTTAAAAAAATTTTGAAAATAATATTTGAAAGTAGAGAGCAAAAAATGTATAACCAGCTATCACCTTGATTCTTAAAACGTTGCTATCGGCAGAAAACGACCATGTTTGAAAATCCATAACAATAATATTTGGTTTCGTTGTTAGGTTTTTTTTGGATGTGAGCACTGTTGTTTAGTTTATGAAACCAACAGTTTTTTTAAGTTTAATCTCTATAAAAGTTTACACGTGAGGGGGCGTCCATTAATCACGTGAGGTTTTTAGGGGGAGGGGGGGTTAGACAAAAAATCACGAAATATCACGTTGGGGAGGGGGGGTATGGTAACATATCACGTGTATTTATTTTTTAACTGATTTTTTTAAAAACATTCAAACATTTTCAAAAAAAGAATCAAAAAATTTTGTTTTTTCACGTAACTAAAAATACACGTGATGTTTGGTGGGGGAGGGGGGGTAATTTTGAATATCACCACGTATCACCAAGGGGGAGGGGGGTCTAAAAATCCTTAAAAACTAGCTCACGTGATTAATGGACGCCCCCTGAGTTAGATAAAAAGGACCAACTGAACCTTTATCTTGACAATGGTGTAAAAAATAAAATAAAATAAAAAATGTTAAAAAAGCAATTTTACAAGAGAAATGCTAAATAAATATTTATTCTAACCTTTTTGATGATTTTTTTAATGAAATACCACATCAATGTTATATACAGTATTATCTTCGAAAAAAAGGTACTCGTGATTTTTTCTTGCATTGCTTGAATGATGTAGTTATTATTTCGTAAAATCCCTCTCAATCCATCTCATGGGCTAAAAAGAAACAGATTACAAATTTGTTGTGATATAATTTGGTTGGTTTTCATAATTATTTAAAGTCAAATTAGATTTTTGTGCCCCCTTTATATAGAATTTA